CTTTTGTGTAATTTAAGAGGGCTGATATACAGTTGCCTACAGCACATCTAAACCAGCTTCCAAAGAAAGCATATAAATCATAATAAATTTTTGGCCGGAGCGTTGCTTTGCACTTTGTATTTTCAGAAAGCATTTTAAAAGCCACAACACTATCAAAAACAGAGCATTCTCCATACTTTGCTCTTACCGACAGTGTTTGCTAGGCGACTGGCAGCGACTAAAAGGTTGGCCCTAAGAGCTAGGTGATGTTTGTATAATCATTGCATATAGAAAGTTTTGCTTTTTTTGTTTTCAGTCTGTCCTATTTCAAAAATGTAGTGGCATTTTCATCTTCTGCTTAGGAAAACTGCACTTCTGAGGTTAAAAAAAAAAGAATGGTCTATATGATACTACTAGGAACTGCTGCCATGTTCTGCAAAGCAAGAAGTGCCAGCTCCCACCTGATCAAAATAAAATCGTCTATTTCTGTGCTAAATTCCCAGCTGCTCTATCAGTTGGGTATCTCACAGTGGCCAGACACCAATCCCTCCGAGGTCTGTAAAGTACATTTCTTAGCAGAATTTTTAGCACGTTTCAACCTAGCAGAGCCTGAAACACGTCTGACCGGCATGTGCTGTAATCTGGCACAAGTACAGAAAAGCTGGTTTTCCAGGTTCATACACAGGATCTTTAGTGTGAGCTGCTTATGAGAATACTGTCCTTTGCTTTAAAATACAGTTTTTGCTAAGGAGTAGCCATATACAAATGACACTTCCTTATTCAATGTATCTGCTCAGTCCACACCTGGGTCACATCCGCTTGCTTTACTGCCAAGCGGACAAAGTTTTTCTGCCGCCAGTTTTGCAAATGCTGTCTAGTTCTATCGTGACAATTCTTCAAAGCTTCGAGGGTAGCCACGGCAAATTTGCCCTTCCTGGTGATGATGTGAGCAAAGTGAGCATGATGTAGCTTCAAAATCCCGAATTCATTGACTCAATGAATAAATATGATGCACCAAATTTGAAATGAAAGCTTATAATGTCCTCCTAATCGACATGAAACTCAAGTACAAAACATTGACTCGCTGCTTTTCTTAAGGAGCTCTCTGAAAGATGCAAACTTACAAGTAAGCAGTGTTCAAGTGGAGCAACAGGGATTTCAAGGGACTAAATTTCAAAAGGACAAAAAGCAACAATCTCTCTAGACATAATGGTGCCATCAAGGAATAAGGCAACCATGTCCTGAAAAACACAGCGCCTAGACGGACCGTTGCTAAAGAAAGTTCGATATTGCAACAGAGATTAAGTAACACATTGACTTGACAGCCATGGGCAATATGTCCAGACACCGGCTAAAGACTTCAAGCAGTGAGCAGTTTCCACTAACCTAACCCTGAGAATCCTTCAGTGACCTTCAATTGAAACAAACATGATCCCTGTTAGTGTTAATATCTCACATGCTGACAGAGAGCTCAGAGAGCTACTTACAGTTATGAGCAAGGAGAAAAGTGATTCAAGACAGAGTTAAGCAACACTTACGCTCTGGCAATCACTGGGACTCCGAGCACACCGCCTGGCCAAGCTCACATGCACAACTCAGGTCTTGAATACTTTCGAATACCTATGTCTGAATATACTTCTCTCTCTCTATATATATATGTATTTGTAAAACTTTTTTTTTTTTTTTGGCTAATGCAAAAGCAACATCCCCCCTGAGTCAGCGCTCTACTGTTACCTGGGCCTCAGAGACCCAGAGCGGGAAACTGCATAAGGACCTCAGGGCAGGGACCTCATCTGCACAGGGCAGAAGTCAGCCCTGACTCGTACTTCTGAAAAATCACAAACTATAGATCTGCATTAAGCAAGAGCTCAGATTCCTAACTGCATGCTTCAGAAGTAATTAACAGCTTAAGGTCTCCTAAAGCTGGACGGGCCGGTATGGTGTTTGCTTGGGAGCTGAACTGCTCTGTGATATTATTTACCTCCAGCTCCGGACTGCCAAACAGACCCATTTGCATTTTGGGGAAAGCTCCCTATAAACGTGAATGACCTTTTGCGACAGACACATCACATGAGAGTAAATACTAACGCTTTCTTCATATGGCCATAAAACACACTGGCATGAGAGCAGTCTTGTGACTTTCTCTTCCCAGCTTTCCCCTAGTCATCTTGTTTTCATTACCAATGTATCTGCACAGGGCAGAAAAAGATGCCCAGCAGAAACGCACAATAGGCCAGCAAAGCCGAGGGCCCTCCTCCCACCACCGCCCGCCACCCGGTAAATCAGCTGCATGCAACTAGAAATGAAGAGACTTGTTTCCAAAGGCAGATCAGGACACAGTTCGATCAGCTTGATGACTGCTTTGCACTTGTTTCATCTATCAAAGCAATTACACTAACAGAAAAGGCCAGGATCTGCATGTGACTGCAGCGTCTGTGTATAGCTGTTTTCATGCAAGCCTGGGTCTTTTGGTAATACTGATGACTGCAACATCATGTGAGGATTTGCAACAAGGAGCAACTCCTACATTGGGCCCTGGAATCTGTTGAGCCGAGAGGGAAAGGAAGCAGAAGGTCGTTTTCTTTTGTCTCTCTTACAGGAAGTCAAGTCACACTGGCCTGGCAGCAGTTCAGGACTTAGCTAAGGACTTGGTGCTGGGAGCAGCTTTGAAAGAGACTCAGGCTGGAAATAAAACAGGGAGGCTAAAAAAAGGAACTTACAAATTGTGCAAAAGGGTTCTACAAGACGACACGTGAGCCGTCTGCCTTCAGGTAATGGTCGACCTTTAGCTTGCTGGGTTTTTTTATAGGCTTGGGCTAATATTTAGAAAATCTTCTAGTACTTTTCTAATCTTCTAGATCAGAAAAGAAGAAAGAAATACATAAAAGCTATTCAAACTTCTCTGAATGCTTAGATAGCATTAGGTAACTGGTGTGGCAAGAGGTGCCACCCTGCTGTCGATACTGTACGTATCTCGGCAGAGCTGCTTAGGTGCTTTTGGAAATTGCCCCCCGCTCATTCACCTGCATCTTAGCTTCCCAGGGAAGCTGCAAGTCAACCCCCTCCTATATCCAAACGCTGAGATGCCAGTGTCACTTTTTGTCACCAGGTTTTATTCATAACTGGAGAGCAAACAGTTTTGCCATTGCTGTTACTCCCCATTTCTTAACTTTGAACTCACTCACCAATGGAAAAAAGCATTCTTTATGTCCCAGGCAGCTAGCGCGAAGCCAAAGGACAGACAAAGGCAGAAGCCTCTCTGCACAACGGAAATGCAAATACTTGACAGCTGGAAAAGAGTCAGTACCAACAGCAGGTACTCAATCACAAAACTGGAAGATAAAACACACTGTTATGGGCTGTACGAGCTGAAACTTAACGTTATCACAAAAACAAGGGTATTTCTTTGCAGTTATGTATCTAAATACAAAAATGCAGAGCCCTAAGAATCTTTTGAATAACTTGTCAAAATTAGTCTCTAACCCAGGTGGTCTACTTCAAATTACACTGTAAACAGATTTTGAGAAAATATATACCATCTAATTAAAAAAAACCATTCTGCTATGATAAAAGTTCGATTTGTTTTGAGAAAGAGATTTTCATGTACCCTCGGCCAAAGCACGGCAAGTCTCCCGTCTTTCCTGGGAAACACTGACCTCTCAGCAGAGTGCCAGTTCCTGGGGATGCCAGCGCAGGCACCCGACGGCCTCCCAGCAACCGGCGTGTCGCGCGGCTGCTGAGAAAGGGTCCTCCTCGCCCTCCCGCCAGCCGGCTACCCTGCGGCCAGCGTCCACCTCGGCGGCGCAGCACGGCCGCGAGCGAAG